ATTTTGTGTTGGATATTTACTATTTATACAATTCGGTACTTATGGTATTTTAAGTTTTTCCATAGACACAATTTCTTATTGGCCAAATCTATTTTTGATTTATATTGTCTATACCATTCAAATCATGCTACGAAATTTCAAACTAAAATGAATGAATGAATTAACATTATTAAATTGATTTTTTTTTGTCATAGGTAATAATGCAAGAAACAGGTGAGCATGTAATTGTCACTGCAGGAGAAGTACATCTTCAAAAATGTTTAGAAGACCTTCGGGAAAGGTATAAATTAATAAAAACTTAAATCAAAACTTAATATAAAAAGTAAAATTAAAAAGCTAAATAACTTTAAACCTAAAATTTAAAATTAAATAAAGATTTTTGTTAGGTAACTTAAGGTTTTATCTCTTCCATGTAAGTCATGTCACTCGTGTCCCTTAATTTATAAATATCAATTTTACCCATTTGAAAATATTTCTTATAAATTGTAAAGATTATAAATTTATAAAATAATTGATTTACATGAAGCTAAATGTATGTGTTTAATGTTTATTTTATTTTTTTTTTATTGGTGGAAACCTGTGTCAAGATAGGCCACTGGGTGTCTGGTGGTACAGTAGTGGGTTATTTTTGTATATTTTTGAGTTGGTAGGGTTGTAACACATGGTATTGTGCATGTGTGCCAAGTATTGTTGCTAAAAACTTGGGAGGTCATCCATCCGGGAGCTAGTGACGCAGGGTTCAATGCAGCTTCAGCACTGTCAACCCTTGCAGCACACCATGGCACATTTTTATGACTTGTAATTGCTTATAACAAAATTCTAAAATACTAATCAGTTGTAACTTTTTCGTAAGGTATGCTAAAATCGATATTGTTGCTTCAGCTCCAATAGTGCCTTTCCGAGAGACTGTTGTGGTGCCTCCTAAAGTGGACATGGCTCATGAAATTGTTGAAACCCAGAATCAAGTAATTATTATTATAATCATATAGTTGGACCTTTGAAAATTATGTAATACATAGATTATTAATCATGTAATAAAGTGTTCATTAAATAAAAAAATATAATGTTGGGATTATAAAATCTTGTTTGAGTGGTAGGTTGAGTTAATTTGTAATTAAAGAATATCTTTTGCACATGTTTAGAAAAATGAAACTGAAGAAAATGAAACTGGTCTTTTGAATGTTTATACTTCAAATCATTTGTGTTGTATTAAAATTCGAGCGGAACCTTTGCCAATAGCTGTTACAAATCTGCTAGAGAAATCAACGGACATTTTAAGAGCTTTGTCAGAACAAAAAACTGAAAATATTTCGGACGCATTAGAACGTTTGACAGTTGAAGATAGTGTTTCTAAAAATATTAGAATTGCTATAGATACCTTTCGGTCCCAATTACAAGAAGCGCTCGGAAATACCATGGATGTGTCTCAAATTTGGGCTTTTGGACCTAGAAAATGTGGTCCAAATATCTTATTGAATAAAATTCCAAGTAAATGCCTATTAAATGTTTATTATAAAATTGTTTCAATGAGTAAAATATGTAAATAATATTTTATTTCAGATTACACAAGGTCAGTGTGGAATCCAAAAGACAATGTGAACGATTTGACAAAGTACGAAAATAGTTTTATGAATGGTTTTCAAATAGCAACTTTAGCCGGTCCTCTATGTGAAGAACCAATGACGGGAGTATGTTTTGTAGTCGAAGATTGGACAGTTGATGTCTCACAACAAACTTCTTGGTGAATAATTTATTTCTTCATTTTATTAATATAATATACATTTCTAAAATTGGATATTGATTAAAAAATAGTGATCCTTATGGACCAATGTCTGGGCAAATCATGTCAGCTGTGAAAGACGGATGTCGAAAAGCTTTCCAAGCCCAACCACAAAGACTTATGGCTGCCATGTACTCTTGTTCTATTCAAGCCAATGCCGAAATTTTAGGTGAATTTTGAATATTTGATTTTAACAGATTTTTTCAAATTTTATGACTTATTGTCGTTCAGGTAAAATGTATGCAGTTTTGGGAAGACGTCATGGTCGAGTTATAAGTTCTGATATGGCGCATGGTTCAGCATCCACTTTCAATATAACTGCTTTGTTACCAGTTATCGAAAGCTTTTCATTTTCTGCAGAAATACGAAAACAGACATCTGGTTTGGCTAGTCCACAACTAGTTTTTAGTCATTGGGAGGTAATAAATATTAAAAATGATGATTGTTAATAGAACTTTTTGTATGAATTATTTTTAATATTTTTTTCAACAATAGGTTATTGATATTGATCCATTTTGGGTACCAAACACTGATGAAGAATTGGAATTGTTTGGAGAAAAAGCTGATTCTGGTAATCGAGCTTTAAATTACATGAATGCAGTTCGTAGGCGCAAAGGTTTATCGGTAGAGGAGAAAATTGTAGAATTTGGTGAAAAACAACGTACTCTATCAAAAAATAAATAAATAATGCCATTTATTAAATTGTCTTTCAAAGAATTAATGTACAGTATTCTTTTTTTCCTTTAAATATAATATTCATTGTTATGTTTTTATTTCTTTTTCTCAGTTTTTTTAGCAGCTTTCTTTTTCATCATTTGAACTCTCTTTTCCATAACAGACATCATAGTACTTGAAGTGGGTGGGTAATGTTTAGGACTGCTGTTGGCAGAAGACGATTTAGATTTACTCGAACTTGATTTGGCTGAAAAACAGAAATCACTTATAATAATGTTAATATTTGTAATTAACATTTATAAAATTTACGTTGTGAGTTTTTGCTACTGGACTTAGATCCTTCAGCTTTAGAAGCATTTTTAGAAGAGCTCTTCTTGCTTTCCTTTCCCGATGAACGTGAATCCTTCACATACAAAAAAAAGATTGAAATCATAAAAAAACAAGAAATTACGTATGTGACTTATTATACTAACAGATTTCTGATAGTCTTTTTGTCTACAGTTGATACAGTACCAGACAATTCGGGGGTCATTTAAGTTTATATCTATTATTGGTGGGTTATGACAGTTCTGATGGTACATAGAATGACATTCCAAACATTCTACCAGACTATTTCCCATCAAAACGTAACTCTCTCTAAAAACAAAATAGAAAGAAATCAAATTATTTATTGTTTCAAAATTTCAGGGGTAATGATTATTGATTTACACATACTTGCAAGTACAACAGGAATATGGTTCTACCTTTTCTGTTTCTGATTCAGAATCTGAGTCAATATTTATGACAGGATCAGATTTAGCCTGTTCCAATGTAATTGTGGGTGGCGGGGAAGAGCGTACTTCTATGATAGATTTGGATGTTCCTGCTATCGGACTGGACGAGGAGCTCGAACTGCTAGACTCGTCATCTAACTAGAAAGTTTTTAAATGTATATTATGCAATAAATATAATATTACAAAAATGATTATAACTTACGTCTACTTGTTCAATACCCAGATCTTTTGATAGCAGAGCAGTAGGAATGGGTAATTTTTTAGCAGCGTTTGAGGGCCGCCGACTGCTTCCGTACAACTCCTGTATAGAGTCTTCGAAATGTTTTAGCAAATTTTTAACGGAACTTGACTCCTTAGTACGACGAACAATTTTAAAACCGGTCTTCATGAATGGTTCAAGTTCTACAGGGGCCTCCATGACGCTTGTTGGGTGATTTCTGTCTTAACAATATTTATAAGTGAAAAAAAACCCGATATTATAACATGTAGAAATAGAAAATGATTCAGAATCGATGTAAGGATATACTATACAGTGTCCATAACAAATTGCAACACGCAAATTAATAAATCATGAATTGTAAACTAATTCGTTTTTATGATTTATACTTGTTATCAGTCCCCGGTACCCTTATCAAAATAAAATGTGTAAAAAATCGTACAAGATGTATGGAAAAATAGAGACTTATAACGATTCCGTATGAGAATCTCGACCAAGAGAACTGTTTTTTTTTTAAATAAACGTATAATAATATAACTTTAATCACAGAATAGAATAATAAATTATATTATGCTTTAATGGTGTATTGGTCATTGGTGTTAATTTTGCAACTGCAGCAACACCAATTTTGAATTCAAAACAATTTGTTTCCAGACCAACTTATGAGTTATAATATTATTGTTATGCGCCACTTAATAAACTTTTTAATAAAACTGGTTAATTATACCCACGTAGTATGTTGTACACACGTTAGACACGGCAAATTTTCGTTTACCACTTTCAATAATGTGCTATTGATTAGTTTTGACATTAGAGTGAATTTTTAAGTGAATTATGAGCATTTACAGTTATTAATATTTTACATACTTACTCGTAACTGCCTTATAAATTTAAAAATCGTTCAGATAAAATTCCTGATCGAGAATGTTCTCGCCATCAAACCGTAAGTTTGATAATAGACCAATTTACTCCAATATCAAAATCAACAGCACACTATTGAAATTGAAGGGGCCCGTGCAAGGACCAGACAGCTTCATTTTTGTAAACTTTTCAAGAAACACAAAAAACCTATGGAGCCATCTAGTTTTTCAATGGAAAAAAAACCCAGACAGCTCCCATTTACATTATATTATTTCCTACTCGGTTGGTCAGATTTGCCTCGTTCTTCTACAGAAAAATTCGTAATTTTTTGCTCAGTCAAATTCAATTAAGACCCGATTTTGACGAAAAATGGAGCTGTTTGGTTGTTGCACAGACCCCTTGAATGTATTGGTGAACGAAAATTTTCTGTGGTGTATTACTGTATTGTACACGTGTGCAAGGCGGAGACAACACATCCGGTATGACCATGAAAAACTATAGTATGATATTGAGTACACTGTACACATCTTTTTAATTGATATTTATGTCTTAAATCACAATGTTACATTTAAGCTGTAAAAATAAAAACTACAAGCAGATTCATTGTTTATGAAACTATTATTTTCGACAATTTAATATTGTTTGATCATTATTACTTTAGGTTGTGACAAAACCGTCAATATATTCATAATGATTAATGACATAATATATTAATATTTGACCGTCGCCGGAGATCGGGACAAAATACGAAATTCGGCAATTTCATTTCACCAATTTCAGGTAACGGAGATTGTGTTTGCGCAGTTCCGTTGCTTTTTGGGTGTTTTAACATTTGACGGTGCATCGATTTTCAAGAACCGTAGACACCAAGGCGCTTCCGGCCAAGAATCGGGATATCGAAGACATTAATATTTAATTCAGTTCTTATAAACTTCACGACGGGTCAGCTTATTTACTCATTACATGCCTCAGTTTTAATAATTGATAGGTTTAACCGGAAAATCGGTGGAGTAACTTGTACCTTTAGTGGCCTATCTACGACCCCGCTTGATCGTAATTTAAAAGCAATATAATTTTATATGCTATAGTTGATAATAGTATAATATAATATTCTATATTCCTATATCTATGATTCAATGGCATAATCTGCTACTACTTTCATAAAAAAAGTTATCAAACGAGAAAATAATCAATCATTATTATTAATCTTAATTCCTTTTGAAATTTGAAGACGACACAACCGCATGTGTTGTCCGTGTTTTACACGTACAACATTGCAAAATACTTGTAATGTCTGTTTTTTCAATATTTCAATTTTCAACTTATATATCTCATATCTCTCATAAGAGTTAAGATATTGTAAAACCCGATAGCTTTCTTACTTGTAAGTTTGATACTTTATAGGTATGTTCAATCCAAGTTAAAAATTAACTCTACCTAAACTGTAGTCTGTTGTCTGTAACTGCTGAAAGCTGAACGTAAATTTGCAAAATTGGTAAGTCGTAGATGACATTATAATATAATATGTGGTACGTGTGTATTTTACAAACACTAAATATTATCAAGTTTTAAAATGTAACATTAAAACGTATATTTTTACTACCCAGTCCGAAACAGTCTTCGACGAGACGATTTCACTCAATTTAACCTACCCATTCTCGAAGTTTGGTCAAAAACTCAAAACCACTATTGTTGTTTGCTGCTTGCAACGGATTTACCAACCATCAAGCAATTCCAAAGAAATGTCAAGGCTGGGGTGTAGGCAGTGCATTATATTGTGCACTTCGGTAGTCTCAAAGCTCTAACTAAATACAATACGGTCAATGCAAATTATGTATCTGTTTAATTTAAAACTTGTCAGTTGTCAATCGTTGCCCTTAATCTCGCAAAACACAGCGGCGTTCGGCGGCCTAACCTAACCGTCAAAAGATATGGGCATGCGAATATCAACCGTTCGAAGAGTGCAACAAAACCAGACGGTCTCTGCTGTAACCGAACGTGAGTATGTCGTAATAATATTAGATTTCATTAAGCGAGTAATAACCAATAATGCGGGCGACCGGGACACGCCTCGAGACCATAATTGTAAAAACACGTCTGTTATGTGACGCACCGATGAACTATTCGGCGAGAGAGACGAAGAACGTTATTGAGATAGACTCTGGGAGTTAGCATAGACATATAAACATATTTATATATGTCCATGGGAGTTAGAGAATGGAACGTCGACGGAAGGATTGCAGATTGACGGCGCACGATCTTATGTATTGAAAACCGATTTCCGTGACGTTCCTTCCGGTACGTGCGAAACTGCGAATCTATTCGAATTGTGATTTCCGATGCGTACTTACCTCGACGAAACTCGGAACGGTTAAGGAATGACCACCACCCTGAGTGTATTATAATATGATGACTTGACAAATCCAAAATAATAATACGTGAAATTGTCATATTGATTACCTACTTCAGTTTTGTCTACACCTTGTATTATATATTTGTATTTCGTATACAATATACAGTTTATAAAATACAATTATTATAATTACGTATTTGCGACGGATGCTATCTCTGTCCGGGTTGCATATAGCGCACAGACATACACATATTAATATTAAATATGTCATTGTACGAGAAATCATTGTCTATAGTTGTTTGCTACTTCGTTTTAGAACAATACGTTTTCAAACTTAGGTCTTGGCTATTTGGTCTTCTGTCGTGTTGATGAGAAAATTTTAAAATCACAGATGAAAAAAAACAAAAAAATAATATGCTTCGTTTCGTACAAATGTTGGCAGTTTATTATTGTGATAAATCATAAAATAATAAATTAGTATATAAGTATAACCAATAACCAACTCCTAAAAAACAATTCAACGGCTCATTTATTGGTGGTTTAAATTATTCTATATGGATTGAATCCAATAATATTGTTTGTAACAATGAGAGAGTTAATGCAAGTGAAATTGAGAGAAAAAAAATTAATATTACATTAAACATTACATAACAAGTAACATCAATAAAATGATAACACAATTTCACATGTTTTAATTTTTTGTTTTGTTTTTGAGTTATAAATTGTACATGTTAACATTTTACACCGTTCATATGAATTATGATTTATACTTATTTATTAAATACTGCACTATATTATCCCAATATTAAAATAATGTCCTTAGAAACAAGGAAATAAATAAATAATAAAATATTTAAATTTTTTAAGATCAAACCTATGAATGAATTAATCTTAAACAATGATTAAAGGATGTTACAGTAGGCATAATTTGCTATATTTTATTTGGCTAGTTCATTTGATAGCCAATCCAATCCTTCATATAAACCATTGCCTTGAGTTGCACACGTAGACTGAATGTACCACTTTCTCTGGTGAAGTTGATTCAGTCCAAGTTTGTTTGTGAGATCCGATACATTCATTGCATTAGGAAGATCTTGTTTGTTCGCAAATACTAACAATACAGCATCTCTGAGATCGTCTTCTTGCAACATGTTGTGTAGCTCTCGTTCGGCTTCTGCTACTCTTTCTCGATCATTAGAATCTACAACAAATATCAGTCCCTGGGTGTTTTGGAAGTAGTGCCGCCATAAAGGACGGATTTTATCTTGACCACCCACATCCCAAACTGTAAATGCAATATTTTTATATTCGACCGTCTCAACATTGAATCCTATAGTTGGTATGGTTGTGATGATTTCGCCAAGTTTTAGCTTGTAAAGTATGGTAGTTTTACCGGCTGCATCCAAACCAACCATCAGTATGCGCATTTGTTTTTTACCGAACAAACGGGTGAAAACTGTTGACAATGTTAAGCCCATCGTGTGTGTCTTAAAAACAATATACCTGATGAATTTTTAACATAAAAATGTGTTAGTTTGTTACTATTCGGTCGTTAGGCTAAACAATTAATGAGTAAATTTTAAGTCAAATTGGATGTAATTTAAAATCAATCTTGGATGAATAATAGACAAAATAACAAATATAATTTACCCATTTATTGAGAAACTTCAGTGAGGTGCTATCGACTGCAGCCGGGCGGAGTTGAAAGAACGCAGTTAAAACCGTCTTAAACAAGCACCAAATAGCCACATTTATATAAAATCGTCTTTGTTTTTCATCTCGTATTATCATTCGTGTACGTGTATTATCATTGTACAGTGGCGGTGATAAGGCGCCTAGAACAGGTTGGCTATGCTGAAATCATATTGATTTTTTAGTTCTTTAAGCACCGGCCCTACTGTATAGACCTGTCAAGGGTCCGTGATAAGAATACCATTGACGGACGATTTCGCTGCCAATAAAAATAACATCAAATTTAATAATTGATAAATTTTCCCCGAAAACTGTGTTTAAAAATAGTCTTTATTCTTCAAGTCTCTGATAGTTGTACCATGAGTTCGGGGACGTGTTGCTTGTCATCAGTGATTTTAGTTTAATTGATGAAAACACGTTTAACGCATTCAACGAGACTCGTCGAAAATGACCACTTCATTTCTGGAGAACAAAATTTTGAATCTACAAGCCCGATTGAAGGCGGACAGCGATACCATCGAGGAAATGTCACCTCCATCACTCTCCAGTCCCCGACAGGGATCGGGAAGACGACCCAAACAACGTGAGTATGCAACGCCCAGTTCGGTTTTTTCTTCTGTAGTAATTGTGGTGTAACATACCTACCAAAAAGGAGATCATCATGACCTTGATGGCTACATCATAATTTTTTTTCCTTAAATTTCAGTTGGTGACATGGGTACTCCGACTAGAACTCGTAAGCACATCGACCTACCGGTAAGCGTACTGATGCAGCCGCGGGTTGAAGACACTTCTGAAGTTGAAGTCAAGATGAAACAAATCATGAAAATGAGTGGTTTACTTACAATCAATGGAATTGTTAGTACAGTATTTTATGTTGAAAAATGTGCTATTATTGTTTAATTTATTTATTTTTGTTGTTTAATTTATTTATGTTTGTTGTTTAGAAATATAAAACTGAGTTAAAAGATTTAGAACATCTCGGAGAATTAGGAAGTGGTACATGCGGCCACGTTGTGAGAATGTTGCACAAACCTAGTAATACTGAAATAGCTGTCAAAGTAAGTGGGACTTTTTTGAACTGATTAATTTGATTACTATTTATATATTAATTTTTTTATCATATTATTTAGCAAATGAGAAGGTCTGGTAATAGCGAAGAAAATAAACGTATTACAACTGATCTTGAGGTTGTACTCAAGTCTCATGACTGTCCTTATATTGTTAAATGTTTGGGTGCATTTATCACTGAATCAGATGTGTGTATATGCATGGAACTGATGGCTACCTGTTTTGATCGTCTTTTGAGAAGACTCAAGGCACCAATTCCCGAAGATGTACTGGGGAAAGTCGCTTTACATGTAGGTATAAGAAATCTTTGAAATTAAATAATTTAAATAATTCAAATTTTGTGTTGTAGACTGTGAAAGCGTTAAGCTATTTAAAAGAATCTCATGATGTTATACATAGAGATGTCAAACCATCAAACATTTTGCTAGATGAAAGGGGAAATGTAAAACTATGCGACTTTGGTATTTCGGGTAGATTAGTTGATTCTAAAGCTCGTACAAAAAATGCTGGATGTGCTGCTTACATGGCTGTATGTATCTATTTGTTAAGATATAAAATCAAGTAAGAAGTAATTTTATTGTACTAATTAAATGTTGGGTTTTCAGCCTGAAAGAATTGAACCTAGGCAACTGGATTACGATATACGATCGGATATTTGGAGTTTGGGTATTACATTGGTTGAATTGGCTACGGGTGTGTTTCCATACCGTGATTGTAAATGTGATTTTGAAGTGTTGAGTCGAGTTTTAAATGATGACCCTCCTTCACTTCCTCAAGATCAAGAGTTTACCTTAGAATTTAGGAATTTTGTATCTAGTTGGTGTGTATTAGAAAATATATTGAACAATTTTGCTTATTTTTTTTTTAAATTTAAATGTATTATTTTTAGTTTGATCAAAGATTACAAAGTACGGCCAAAATACAAGCAATTATTGGAACATCCATTTCTACAAAAATATATGATAAAGACAGTTAATGTTGCTGAATGGTATGCTGAAGCTACAAGTCAAAATATAGTACTCAAGTAATTTATACCACATTTAGGGTTTATGGACTTAATTGTTGTTAATATTTTAGCAATGTTGCTGATATTTCATTAAATAACTAAGAAAAGTTGTCATTAATAAATTATGTAATTTACAGACTAGCAAAACCAGCTGTAGAAAACGTTCCTATTAGTGTCCGTAAGATTTCAGATCATCAATTTCCTTCATTGAGTTTAATAGATAAAAACAAAATCAATGGGTTTGTTAAAACAATTAAATTTTAATTCAAATGAATATTTATTTTGTCATCTCTTGTGTTTAGAAACTTTGTAATGGACTCTCCAAAACCTGTGAAACGCTTCCCAAGTATGGAAGTGCCTCCTTCAGTGTTGTTGTCACCGTATAAACAATTGACGGGACAATTGACAAATGGTGGAAATGTTTCTGCCAATACTAGTCCATTAGTGCTGCAACGGTTTTATCATCAACAAAACCAACACCATTCAAGGTGAGAATAGTAAAATTAAGATTTAAGTAATTAAGATAAGTTGAGATTGATCTTAACTAATTAAAACAATTTTGAGTTAGTGTTTATAGATACATGATTTAAACTTTTTCTAGGTCATCTTCTGTATCTCCAAGCCGTTTTGAACGAAATACTCCTAGAGAAATTAATCCCTCGGATTCACCCAAACCTAGTCCAAGGAAGAGTCTAATATCTACCTACCTCAAATTCGCTCCATGGAGCAAAACTCCTCCTAGTCCACCACCACGAAACCAAAACACACCAGCAATTTCGTCGCCATTGGTAACAAGGCGTGAGGTGTGCCCTGCCTCTCCAGCGCCTGTACGTAAGACATTTGAAGGTTCTCCAGCCTTATCTAGGCGATATGTATCTCCTGTTCCACCAACTCCACCACCACGTCGCTTATCAGAAAGTGGATCATCGCCTTTACATAAATTTTACCAACAACGATTATTTGGTCAACCAAAATTGGAAGAAAAAGATCGAAGATACACACCTCAACCACGTAGACGTGTCGTTTGCCAGTTCAACGATATATGACAACGACTGTGTGGGCAGAGACGTAAAGAATCTGTTCCCAAAAACAGTGAGTGAATCAAACGGCTTAATCATAACGTTATAACATAAATTATTAAATCATGTTCGATATAAATATTTAATTTAGCAATTTAAAAAGACAACTTATACATAATAATATAATATTAAATTATGAAAAACAATGTTAAACATATTATACCTAATTAATTGTATGACAGATCTAGTTACTATTCAAGTCGCTGAAAATTACTTTTTAATTTTATCTGTTAATTTTTTTTACTTGATGCACATTTCATTATTGTTATATGTGTTGAACAGTTGTGCCATTGCAACTAGCAATTCAGATCCAATTATAGTATAATATTAATATTTTATGGGAATGTTTATCAAACATGAACATGAAACTTAACTGGTAACCAGTTCCTTATTTGTCTATTAACTGGTGAATCTACTCGCTAAATTCTTATTATTAAGAAAGTGAGTACATTATTATACATATATATATATTATATTACAACATAATTTATATGATTTGTAAAAAGAAACCTTGTGTAAAACACTTTGATTTGAGCAAAGTTTGTTAGTGTAGTAAAATCAAAACGTTGACAGCCATATTTATTTATTATTATTACTTTATTTTTGCTACTTACATTTGTGTATTAATATTTTTTTTTGTGTTCTGTTTTAAATTGTTTGCTCAATTTGTTTGTTTATTATTTTTTTTTTTTTTATGTGACTAGTCACGGTGTCACAACCGAAATGTCTCAGGTTATTATATTACCCACATATAATGTATCTTACTGTGATTTTTTAAACATTTTCTTTTGCTTCATTGTGTACCAAGTTTTATAGTTAAATATTTTAGCTTACATTATTTCTATGCAAATTTAAACATTATATAATATAAGCAATATATAACCTATATATATATATTTATATATATTACATTCTAGTCATGATATATAAATATTATTGTTTCAGAATGATATTTTGTATAAAGTTAAGAAATTATGTTATTTGATCAAAACAATATAATACAAATATATAAAAAAAGCATTTATTTTTTGGCAAGCTCATGTATGTATGTATTATATGTATTTTTACATAATAACGACATGTTTGGTATTTTAATCAATGTCCATTTTTATTTGGCTTCCGTTGTATGAAATATCTTTGGTTCAGGTTGAGGAATTGTGCATCTCACAATCAACGTCTGTATCCAATTTTTCGCAGTGCTTTGAGGTCAACATCTCCGTAGTAGTCTTCACTATAAACGTAAAATAAATATTGAAATGTTAAACAACCATAATATTCATAATATTTATCTTTTGGCTTAATAATTTGTTAACTTTAAATTGAGTTAAAAACGATCGTATTAAAACAATACTTAAATAAATTATTAATGTGTTAATATTTCATACTTATTTTTTTTATTCTATGTTAGGTTTGTGTTAACGCAGCATCGTGCGTCTGTATATTTTTAAGATTTCATTATACTGGTAATAGATTTGTTCTACTTGACCAAAGAACTAAAGCAGCAACACAATTACTTAAACTTAACTAAATTTATTGTGTACATGCTGTGATAGACGACTTCCTCATGCATAGTTATGTTCTCGTAAGTGTATATTATAATTATTATAATACCGTCGTCCTAGTAGAGCTATACTCAAAACTTCCGTTAGGATTACTGGTCGCGTATATGTGTCCGTTCGTTTATTAGGTACCTACTACCTACCTAATACCTATCATACGGTAATTTTTAAGACCATGAATCACATTATAATATAACCTCGCTATAACTGAACCCGAACACGGTGGGTATCCATTATAAGGGTATTCATTATAATAGACAATTAATAAAAATGCAACATTTCATATTGATGTACATCACATAACAGCTGCGATTGTGTGTGAAATCGTCTTAGGGTGGGTGTGTTAATCCAATTTTGTAGGTATCCGCTGTTTCCGACTGAATTTAAATTATTGTTCCCGTCGCATAAAATTGTTTTTTTTTTACTGGTATCCAATCACCTTAATTATTGTGTCTAAACGGTATTGTCTTTTAAATCAATTTATTTCTGAGGAATTTCATTGATGGGTTATGATCGCAATGATTATTTTTGTATAATATCCAATATGTAAGTATTATATTTATCTCACGTGTTTACGCTCAACTGCTCAAGTTGCACTGTTTTGCGATACTCAACACATATTGTTTTAATGCTTCTTTTCGAGATCAACCAGATTCGGACAATTTGGTTAAGATATTAGTTGTGTAGCCGTATAGGTTGGTACTTATATAGTAACTTTAGTTTATTTTAACTTGTTCAATCACAATACGGTCAGTACAGAATAGATTGTTGTTATTATATATGAAATGTAATCAGTGGTGTTTTCGTAAAAACTTGTATAACTGTAAGGTTGGTACTATTCGATAATTGCTAATTTAAGGTAACGATTTAAATATGCAATTAATATTGTGGTTTTAAAATTGTATAAGCCCAAAACTGATCTGATTCAAGTATTAAACCCTCCAAAAAGTGGTACATTTATTTAAACTATTTTTAAAACTATTTCACAGCTCCGATTTAACTTGATAATTCTCTTGGAAATTCTTATTACTATGGCGGCAACTTAAACATTTAATAAAAAGCATATTGCAATAATCACGGTCAATCCGGATTCACAGTTACGTCGTAGTGTGTCGTGTCGTGCGAGGTGGTGGAACTTTACGGTTACAATCGGTCACTTTATTGGTTTAAAAGTTGAGCTGTAGTAAATTTTTTGTGTACTGGGTTGCAATTTGGGTATTACCTACACGGTGCTAAAAAAGTAACGTCCTACTACAAAATGCGATTGGTGATTTGATCACTCGACATAGCTGTGAATGCGCCTTCACGAAACATGATTAGCAATATGTTATACGTGGTAACTGGTAATTATCAAACTTAATTATTTGTTACGCAATTTCAACTTATAAATAGTTGATAGATGTCATATGATAGTAAATAATAATAGGTACCTAATACAAAATACAGATTACTTAAATTTTAAATCTTTTAAGGTATACCCGCATGTCTGTTATTTTTACAGGGTAGGTATAAGCCAATTACTATAATTGGGGCCAATATTTTTTTAATATTGGTACACGCCGTACCCACGTCCCCCTTTCGTGGTCGGTTTACTCCTCAAAACACCACTCACTGTAGGTTAATACAATCTGGAGTTCCAGACAGAGGTGTGTTTATAAATATAATGACAAACGTGAATTATAACAATATAGGAAATAGGAAATACTAATTTCAGAATTCACAAGTTTATGCTAAGCTCATATAATTAAGAGCTTTATAACTTCAACAATGAGTTGATGGATATTTTAAACAATTTTCTGGAAACTGAAAAGTCTTAAGTTTTTAAAAATCATTTTGCGAAGAACGAAAATTGAAAGCTACAAATGTCCATAGTCGGATACTTGTATAAGTAGGTAGATATGAAAAAAGCGCTAGTGTTAGCCGCATGCAAGATACGTGTAACCTGTAGGTAAATAATATTTATGTTATGTTAATAAGTATTTATATAATGTTATTTTATGAACATAATATTCTGTAGTTTTTACAGTACGTTTTAACGTTTCACTTGCTGTTTATGAATATAGTATTGTCCTTCAGCATTCGAAGCGTTTTAACATTTTTATAGACGTAATTAGTTAGGTATGGGAAACTTTGGGACGAGTTCTATTTTATTGCGATGGAATAATTATTATGACGAGGGTAGCGATGAGCGATGAACAATATAAAAATGTATGTATTCAAATATATATATATATGTATATATATTAATATATTTAATATAATAACTATGTTTTTAATCTAGGTAATCATAATAAAATGATGAATTATTAATAAACTTACAATAATAAAAAACATAATTATTATAAAGATAAGTACACATTGTAAAATTAAAAAGCGTAATTTGTACAAAATATTTTTTATATAGTTCATTATATAAATTGATTTAATTATTTTATACATAGATATTTGAAAAATGCAATATATATAGTGAATGCGACATTGCGGATTCACCTATTGCGGTTGGGATTTTAATACATGTGCGAAGTATATAATAAATGCACATATTGTATTGATTGTGTCGTGAATGAACATTCGGGTAATTTAAAAGTTTTTTTTTTTGATTTTTGCGCTTAAATACGAAAATAATTATACAAACAAAAACGTGTGTGTACTAGTGATGGAGGTGCACTTAACACAGTAGTAAAAACAGTAAATTGCGGCTGCAGCTAATACCGTTCGTCGCATTAATGTGCCTGCAGTATTATATATTTTTATCGTAACTGTTTCGAAAATAATCACGGAACAGGGATAAATTACATAGGGGATCGGACGGAAAATCGATCAAATTCGAATACGACGTTGATTAAAAAAAAAAAGCGTATAAAAAAAGGAAACAAAATAATAATAGGTATAATAATAATTAAAAAAAAAACGTATTAAATTGTGTGAGCACCTGTGTATAAATCCTCTTCACATACAAATTGTTTTATATTTATATGTGTCGGACAGGGGTAGTATACAGTAGAGGGGTAGGGGGAGAAAGAGCAAATACGGTGCTCACGCAATTCAAAAACCGTAAGTTATACAAAAAAACTTTCAAAAGCGTGTTTGTGTGTAAGTGTGTGTGTGTGTCCTTCACCGAGGGCGAGTTACACCGCCGCCGTTGTCTTCTCGTCTAAGCATCTTCGTAGTCTTTGGATGACTGCGAGGAGACCGGGAGTTGTTGGGGTTGTGGTCTGCTGGACTGCTGTTGTTGGGGTTGTGGCCTGTTAGATTGTTGTTGTTGCCTTTGGGGTTGTGGCTTGGGTGCCGCGGGTGCTGACTTGGATTCAGCCGACGACGATTGCTTGGATTTGTTGTCCAGCCCGGACAACAGTTCGCTCTTCCTGATCGCCTTCAGGTCCAAGTCGCCGTAGTAGTCCTCACTGCGTACACATATAGGTAGGTTGGTTTTGATTTTTTTTTACCCCGTTCACGGTCGTCGCCGAGTCGTTTATATTAATATTATGCCAATGTATATTACTAAATGTATAAAGTATCACTATTCACTACCTATACAAAAGTCAACCTAGGTATGTACTTATATTTTACGTACACATAAACATTTACGTGTATAATATCATAGGGCATGCATATTACATTTTGTGTGCGTGTCTTGCGAATAGTCAAAAAAAACCTGAAGGATGCGGCGGAGACAGGAAATTCCGCACGATATCAAGAAAAACATTAAATCTGTGATACGAATATAAATATACATAGGTACACGGCGTCATTGATTATATGATTCCAAGGTAGGTGAGCGGGGAGGCTGTCGGTTGTGAGAATTGAAAAAATAAATGTCGAAATGTCAATTGCAACAACAATAATTATTGATTTA